ATGTTGGCATGATTGGTATTGTGAACGAACCAATCCAAGATGCTGGGCAGGCTGCGGGTATGATTTCCCAGTTTTATCCCGCGGCATACAAGGCCATTCGAGCTGCTGAAGCAGCGGCAGGTGTACAGCCGAACAATTTCTTGCATGTTCAGGCTATGGACCAAGGTTGGGGCTCTGGAGATCCAAATTCTGGACTTGCTGGTGGTGTTTCTTTGGCTTGTAAGTTCTTTATTTGTTCATTTCTTTCTCAAAGATTCTTCATACGACCCAAAGTTTCTCTCAGTGACATTTCTAACATATACTCTGACGTTTAGATGACGAGCATCGATATCTTAAATGGTCCAATGTGGCCGTCTCCCAAACCGCCTATCTCCAATCGTCTTGCACATATAATCCTATTTCCAGCACCGGTGGCCCAACGGTCGTAGGAGAGTTCTCTCTTTCTCCTCCAGACAACGTACAAGATACAGCGGGCTGGACGACATCTACTCAAGGTGCATTTTACAAAAAGTGGTTTGAGGCACAGGTTATGGGATATGAGAATCACGCATTGGGATGGATCTTCTGGACTTGGAAGGCACAGTTGAATGATTACCGTTGGAGTTATTTAGATGCGGTAAACGCGGGAGTTATTCCAAAGGATTTGAATAGTGTGGCTGGAAGCGGTGCTTGTAACGGTTTCTAGAGAGGAGAGATCAGAAGAGAGAAGGATACGGCGGATTTTTGGAACGGCGTCGGAACGTTGAAATCGTATTTAAGGGGCGGGGTTGTTGCATTTTGAGGGGATGAATTTCGCGATCGCATTTCGGTTTGAAATGGCTTTATGATACTCCGTACATTTTGAGTGGCTCAAAGTTTACACATTCTTGATACCCTTTTAGTAATTCATACAATTATTTCCATACATCTCATATAATTCGTCACTCTCATCATATAAAAAAAGATGTCATCATCCAAATTCATATCCACTAGCCAGACCCATTAGTCATATCTCAAGTACGTACAACTTTATTGATCCCTCATCCTTCAGTACCTTAAAATAACCTACACCCGTAGCATCGCCAGGAACACGAAACCCGTGTTCGAAATTCCATGTGAGATCATACACGACGATGGCCTGCACTTGTAATGTTCTCCAAAATGACGAATCCCACTCCCTGACGGTCGTTGAGATTGTCAATTAGATTGAGACACATAAGCTTATAAATCCAACGTTGCACTCGTCTTATTTATAGTCTGTGTCGTAGATGATTTGCGAAGAGATGGCTTTGAAGGATTGTATGATTTGTGTACTGTAGTCTGTGGTCGATATCAAATAGTCTTAAAGTAATTGGACGAATTTGGAATCGTGGGATAATACGATTGAAGGAGGATATTTACAACCTCGATCACAATAATTGCCTAGAAAGGATTTTGGAGAACGTTCAACTAGTTTGTTTGAGCATCAAGCTTCAGTACCTATATAGTTAGCACTTGAGTCTTGAATTCATCTATATTATACTCCGCAATAAGCAAGTGTAATTATGAAGTTGATATCACGAAGCAAAACGCGCGTAATACTCGATACAATTGCAAAGATGGAACACAAATGAAATCATTAAATTCATGTCAATTTATTTTTATGATATATAACCACAGGATTAATGCCCCTCTAAATAACAGTAAAAGTAGCATTTGCTCTCAAGTCCGCACTCGAACTTCCGATCTGCACGACGAAATCTCCTGGCTCAACTACATACTTCATTCTGATATTCCACAATCCAACCTCCTGAACCTTCAAATCAATGTTGACGGTTTCGGTTTCTCCGGCTTTGATAGCTACCTTAGAGAAACCCTTGAGCTGGATGTTGGGAACGACGACGCTGCTAATCACATCTTGGACGTAGAGTTGTACGACCTCCGCCCCATCACGAGTAGAGTTGTTAGTGACAGATACGGTGGCGGTGATGGTATCATTAGCGGTGACGTTTGTGGCTGAGAGGGTAACATCCGAGTATTCAAATGTGGAGTAGGATTTTCCATATCCGAATTCGTAGAGAGGCATGGGGGAGTTGAGGACATATTGGTGGCCGAAAGAGAGGGTTCCATTGGAGAAAGCCTCTCCTGGGTAGTTTGGACGTCCGGAATTCCAGTAATCGTAGTAGATTGGGGTAGTTCCGATATCGTACGGGAAACCGACAGAGAGTTTACCACTTGGGTTGACGTCACCGAAAAGGACATCGGCGAGTGCGTTTCCTCCTTGTTCGGAGGGGTAGAATTGTTGGATTAGTGCGGATGCGTTTGCAGAAATCCATGCTTCGGTGATGGGTTTACCGGATGAAAAGACGACGACAGTGGGTTTTCCGGTATCGATGATGGCTTTGACCAAGTGGGGCATAGCGCCAACGAGGTTCAATGATGAGACGTCGACGTGCTCTCCCGTTGTGGCGTTGAGTCCTTGCCAAAGTTGGTTTTGGTCTCTCGACCATGTTCCGACAACGACGACAGCTACATCGGCAGCTTTAGCAACGGAAATAGCCTCGTCAAATCCAGACTGGTCATTTGACCAGCGCTCACAACCTTGAGCATAGGTAACGCCTAAAAAAGGTTAGCTATGGCATGAATGCATGTTTAGACGATAAAATCTTACTTCCTGAACTAGCAGCTTGTATTCCGTCCAATGGAGTCACTCCATGGTACATACTTCCGTTGACGACATAGTCACCATACTAGAACTTATTAGATAAATAATGCAAGATGAGTTTCCATAACTTACGTTCATGAATCCATGTGCCATGGGTCCAATCACTGCAACATTGGCCGATTTTGAAAGAGGAAGAACACCCTTTCCGTTCTCCAACAAGACAATGGATTCAGCATCAAGTTCCCGAGCTAAGTCAATATGCTCTTGAGTGTGAATCAAAGATGCAGTCTCGTTGGCTGGTGCTGCGAGATATGGATTCTCGAAAAGACCTTGGACGAACTTTGCACGAAGAAGACGCGATACGGCGGTGTCTACAATGTCGATGTCCAAGACTCCAGACTCGACAAGGTCTGGGATTTTTTGGAAATTGAAAGAGCCACCACCCATCTCGACATCATTACCTGCAGGAAGTGCCTGTATGTGATTAGTAGAGCTTCAATCCGATATGAAGATTACTTACAAACATGGTTACCGCATCTGAATCGATGGGTAATCCGTTGCCTTTAGATCGACACATCTTGAAAGCATCGCAGAGACGATCTGTCGCACCAGCATCACTGGTTACCCAGTATTTGTAGCCCCATTCTTCTCTGAGAATTTCAGTGAGGATGTGATAATCAGCGATAAGTGCAACACCATCATATGAATGGTAAGCAGACATGATAGACCAAGCATCGGCATCCATGATCATACGCTTGTATGGTGGTAGATAGGTGGTTCGAAGTTCTCTTTCTCCACCGTGTTGTGGGCCAGTGTTCAATCCTTGTTCAGGAGTTCCAAAGGCTGCAAAATGTTTCACCGTCGAGCTGACATTTCCAGCTTGTAAACCTAGTTCGATTAGAACTATACTACCGGATTAACAATTTGGTCAACGTACCTTTAACATAAGCATATCCCATCTCGCCTGCTAAATATCCATCCTCGCCAAAGGTCTCTTCGACTCTTCCGTATCTCAATTCACGGGCCAAATCTCCCAATGGTCCAAAGATTTGGTTAACACCAAGAGCAAGTGACTCTTGTGCAATGGCTGCTCCCATCTTTTTAATTAAGGCAGGGTTCCAAGAGCAAGCCTGTGCAATGGGCGAATTGAAGATTGTCGCGTTTCCGATCAAGAAACCATGAATACCTTCACTTTGAACTAAAGCTGGAATTCCCAAAGTTGTGTTATGCATAATATAGTCTTGTGCCTGTCTTACCCCGTCCGCAATCAGCTGTTGCGCAACTGGATAACCGACATAGAATTGACCAGCGCGAGTCGCCATATTCCATGCTAAACCGGTTGCATTGAACGTGCCATCTGTCATGTTACGCCAATTTGAGATATCGCCCTGAATCAGTTGGGCAGTCTTATCTTGGATGGTCATCCGCGACAGTAAATCGGCAACTCTGTCATCCACACTTGCATTTGGATCCTTGTACACTGGAGTGGAATTGGTGTACGACGCATTGGCGGTGTAGGCAAGCAAGGCCGCCACAGAGGCTGAGGAAACCTTCATCTTGAGTATGGAGAAGAAGTAATATCTTCGTAGAAGGTATGCTTAGGAAAAGGAATTTGATGCTGGGAATTCTTCGCTATTTAATGCTCACAAGCAAAACGACCCAGACCACGGAGTGCACCTTCCAGCATCATATTCGGCCTTGCATCTTTAGTTGCATTTTCTCATCTCTCTTATTCACTGGGTAAAGAGATACTTTTTTCGGGGTGAGTTGTGGGGAAAGATGTGATCTTGGTTCATGGATCCAAGCCAACCAGTCTGGATGCAACCCGAGGCAAAGGTAGCCGAATCTAGGATAATTGATCCCCCGCCCCCCGCAAATACCTCTTGGTTTCGACCTGCAGCCTTAGACACTCGTATAAGAGCTCGTGATACGTGGGGATGGATGTGTGGAAAGGATCTGGAAATCAGGATCTTAATTGATTCTCAAACTTAACTCGTGGAAGCTCTCCGAAATCGCGGTGGATGTCCTTCCGGAACAATATTCGTGCGAAAATTCAATCTCGACTTCTTCACCTGGTGTGGATATGCAAGGCGGAGCGGGTATGGGCGGATAAATAGAGCTACCCCTCACTAAATCGACGTATCGGAGCCCTTGGCGAAAACTGTATTTAGCCAAAAATAAGACGACCCAGAATTAATTATTGGGAAGTGGGGTGTTTGATGGGATAACATGTTTGATAGTTAGTCGTGTAGATGAACTTTTAATAAGATTGAATCGATTGTAAACTTTATTTTTGCTCGACTTCGAAGATTGATTCTTGAGTTAAAATTTACAAAGTAGTCATTTGACTTAGCAGATTACAACAGAAGTTCTCAGGATGAAGTTCAGAGATGGAATGTGGTTGCCGGCGGAGGGGAAACGACTGGAATACGCTGAAGAGGTATATGCTATTACGGAACGTGAGGATGGCAAAGCATTGAGTCTGCTATGCCCAACTAGAAAGATATTTGCAAGGTCAGATTCATTGAATTTGAGTACCTTGACAATTGTAAGTCAATCCACTTAGTAAGTACAAAATACATATTGATCATGAAAAGGATGTGGAAGCTCCATTTGATGGAGTGATATCCGTCGAGACTACACACTTTTTGGGTGCTCTCAATCCAGGACCTCATTTCGATCTATTTCCAGAAGGAAAGCCAGAGGGTAGTCAAGTCGAAATTGCCAAAACAGAAAAGTCAACCACTCTCAAATCTGGATCATTATCGGCGACCGTGAAAACTGGCAATCATGACTTCGAGATCCGATTTCATGCTACAGATGGCTCGAAAGAACTTACATCCTTACTCAATCGAAGTGTTGGCTTAGCATATAGTCCGGCGACTAGCAACCCGATGCAGATCGCAGATATGAGGGACTTTGAACATTATATTTTCACCCAATCGACCCTGTCAGTGGGAGAATCCGTGTATGGTCTAGGAGAGAGATTTGGAGCATTCAATAGGGTTGGCCAGTCTATTGAGCTTTGGAATGCAGACGGAGGAACTTCGAGCGATCAAGCTTACAAAGTTAGTTGTGTCTCATTTGAATTTGTGAGTGATACTAACGAGATGTCAGAATGTACCATTTTGGATGAGTTCTCGGGGATATGGTGTGTTCATCGATACACCTGATAAGGTGGACCTTGAAATTGGAAGCGAGAGATGCTGCAGAGTTCAGACCAGTGTAGAAGGCCAGAGACTAAAGTGGTATGTACCTTGTACTAGATCTTCAATGAGTATCAGATATTGACTGTCGAAGGTACATTATTTATGGACCAACACCAAAAGAGGTTTTGACAAAGTATTCAATCTTGACCGGAAAGCCAGGGAAGGTACCAAGTTGGAGTTTCGGACTTTGGTTGAGCACTAGTTTTACCACAAATTACGACGAAAAGACTGTGAATTCATTCCTCGAAGGGATGAGTGCACGAGATATTCCAGTGGAAGTATTCCACTTTGATTGTTTTTGGATGAAGGCATTTCATTGGTGTGATTTTGAGTTTGATTCTGAGATGTTTCCAGACCCAAAAGCTCAAATTTCTCGACTTAAAGAATCTGGTAAGCTCTGTGAAATTGATACGCGCTAAACACCGCTTACATGTGACAGGACTTGTCAAGAAGGTTTGCGTTTGGGTAAACCCATATCTCGGCCAAGCATCTCCCGTCTTCAAATACGCGGCAAGTAAAGGTTACTTACTCAAACGTAAGAACGGTGATGTGTTCCAGTGGGACCTCTGGCAGACGGGAATGGGAATCATCGATTTCACCAATCCCGAGGCTACAGAGTGGTACGTAGGCTGCTTAAAGGGCCTATTTGATAAGGGGGTGGATTCAATCAAGACAGATTTCGGAGAACGCATCCCATCCAAGGATGTCCAATGGTTTGATTCATCTCTCGATCCAAGAAAGATGCATAATTACTATGCGTTCCTATACAACAAAATTGTCTATGAGGCATTACAAGACCGATATGGAAAGGATGAAGCCGTTCTCTTCGCACGTACTGCTACTGCTGGGACTCAGCGTTTCCCATTGCAATGGGGCGGTGATTGCGAATCAACTCCTGAAGCTATGGCTGAATCAGTTCGAGGAGGCTTGTCGCTAGGACTTTCTGGTTTTGCCTTCTGGTCAGTCGACATTGGTGGCTTTGAGGGCTATCCTCCTCCTTGGATATACAAACGCTGGGTTGCTTTTGGCCTTCTTTGTTCCCATAGTAGACTTCATGGTAGCAATTCTTTCCGTGTACCATGGACAGTGGACGAGGACGACAAAACGGATCAAGGGTGCTCCAAGGTTCTGTCAAAGTGGACGACATTAAAAGCAAGACTCATGCCGTATATTTTCTCGCAAGCTCAAGAAGCTGTCGAGCTGGGTGTACCCCTTTCACTTCGAGCTATGTGCTTGGAATTCCCAGATGACCCAACCTCATGGTATCTCGACCGACAATTTATGTTTGGAGATAGTTTACTCGTAGCCCCAATCTTTGAAGAATCCGGGGATGTTGAGTTTTATTTACCAAAGGGTAAATGGACGAACTTTTTCACCAACGAAGTGAAGAGTGGACCTGGGTGGTTCAAAGAAAACCACGCGTTCGACACCCTTCCTTTATACGTCCGGGAAAATACAGTACTTGTGCTAGGAAAATCAGAGCAAACTAAGACTGTGTATGATTATGCCCAAGATGTTGAAGTTCGTCTATACAACACTACCAAGGGGGCTAAGGCCAGGCTAGTAAATTCTGAGGGAACCGACATTGGTACTCTTGAGGTTGACGATGATGGGAAACTGAAAGATCAGAAGTTTTTGACGGGATCATGGGAGGTGACAAAGATCTAGAATTGTCATACAATACAGATATTGTGACTACTCGTAATGAACGGACGAATCTTCTATGAATAAGCGATGTGTATTTATGCCCAATAGACTTAGATAACATAGACATAGAAGGAACTTATCAAACCGACCACCAGTGGGTGTACGGATTACAAAGAATTGACTTCTAAATATCTTGTGATATATCAATCTGTATATTTCAGGAATCGTCACAATTGTTTATTATAAATAGAACAATCAGAATGTGAAATTTGATATCAAACAACTGAAGAATGAATCTGTTAAAAAAACTGAAAAATGAGAAGTGTCCCGTCAATGCATGCACCATCTGGTGGACCAGAAGTGCCATTCAGAAGACGGCATGAGTTCGATTAACCTCGATTACTTTGAGATATGCGCAGATCAATCAACCAACCATACAGATTTGGTGTTCAGGACAGACATTGGACATGGCGGAGGTCTTTCCCCAACTAGAGCGATTATGAGCGTATCGACCCACTGGCTGATGTTGATTCCCCGGGTTATATATTATTGTGGATCGGAGTCCATGCTTGACTAGCAACGAATCCACTTTCTGTATGCAGAGAGAACGTCAGTTCTTTTGAAGGATAAACGTCCGCGTGTACTTTTGTCGTCTGTATCTTCCTAGGAAAGATTTGCGACGTACTCGGGGGGTGATAGACATATAGGGAAGGTATTGAAAGTTAGACACAAAACAAAGTGTGCTGCACCGAAATGTGGATGAATTCTTTTTGAAATTGAACTTGAGATTTCGGTGCCTCGGATTTTTCAAGTCGAGTTGATATCACGTGATTTAGAGGATTTCTATACACACACCCCGATGCCCTCGTACCCCAGCGAGCCAAGTTTGAATTTCTGGGGTAGAATATTATTCTCACACCCCTCTACATTGACGGAATCTCCTGTGCAAATCTTTCCATCCAATAAAAAAAACCGATATTTCGATTTTAGATAGACAAAAATGTCAACCAAGCTCAAGATAATAATTTCCCAAAGGCTTTTCCAATGTCTCTCATCAAATTCTTAATTCCAAGTAGTGATTACCAGGTTTGATGTAGAATATCAAAGGGAGAACAATCTTCAGTTTTTAGCTCCGGGAGAAGTCCCTAGTGCCCCCTTACTCCGCTAGTCAAAAATTTTTCGGTTAGCATGTGTGCGGAGCGTGAAAAAAGCTTACTCGAATAATGCAGGAGCCAAGGATTACTTTCTTCATTTCCACCAAAGGATTTCAGGCAAAATTATCAATACATCATGTCATCCTATTGGTCACCGTTTTGCAGTTTGATACCAGATCTCTTGTTATGTTTTCCCATCTTCCTTTTTTCCGTCTCCGATTTCTTCATCGGCGCAACCACAGATCAACATGGAGACGTTCTTGTACAACCACACCGACCATATCATAAATATAGACATAGATAGGTTGATGACCCGACTGAATGCGTGGAGTTTTTCTCAAACAACTGTGCAGCCGCAAGTAATGGGCCGCGTTTGTTGGGCCGTCTCTGGTCAATCCCTTTAATTTTCTTTCCTGTCATCGTCATTTAATTACATTCACCCCTTCTGAAGCATTATTGATATATGATCGATGGCTATTCATATCAATATAAAACGACCTCAAGACCGAGTGGTTACCATACTGTCGGTACTTCTTGTGAGGCCAGACTACTTCATTATGAACAGCTCATCTACTAGGATATTTATACTACCACCTAACTCTATGGGTGAAAACTGCCAGGTGAATCCTGTGATACCCGTCTTGGTGTCATTGATTCATATCTAGATTCAAAACTGTTGGTGGCTTAGTGATTATTCAGGGATGCCACGAAATTTTCACGCGTAAGATAAAGTGGTTAGCTGCACATGTCCAAATCTGGTAGCCTCCCCTCAAGGGTATCATTGGATTCACCATTTCAAGGGAGGGGGTCTCTGGGACCAATACGGCTTCAATTCAACAGCCTTTAGAAAAACTTAATTTGGCACCTGTACGGATTTCTAACTTACCCTGGACTTTTTCCCGAGCAAAAATACCCTTGATACCTGCATCGACGTAAAGTAACATAGCACAGAGAAGGAAATTCGAAATTCGACTGCATAATTCTATAGTTACACCTGTTTAATCGACATTCAATCACTCGCCGCAGCTTCCCATACTGAGCCACAGGTGGAATTTAAATACACACGAGTGTCCAGGACCCTTTCTTCCGTTACTTTTGTTTTTACAAAGTTCTTTCTTTCAACTTTCTTTTTCTCCATTTTCCCGTCAGTACATAATACTTTTTTGCACATCATGGAGTCCGACGGACATGCAAGAACTGGCAGCACCAGTGATGAGGAAAAGGTGGTTGCTTCTGCGGCTATTCACTCTAACCTCCCGGCGGACCCTGATGCGCGCCTTTCAGATGCAGAGCGCAAGGCCATCGACCGAAAACTTGTCTGGAAATTGGACTTGTATTTGATTCCCTGGGTACGTTTGCAACCGTGGTTTCTCTTATCAATTTAAGTACTAATTGTTAAAATAGCTTTGTATCCTTTACCTCCTTGCTTTCTTGGACAGAACAAACATTGGAAATGCGAAGATCGATGGCCTCCAAAAAGACTTGCACAAGATGTCAACTGGACGATACAATGCAACTCTTTCGATATTCTTCGTTTCGTACTCGATCTTCGAACCGTTGACCAACGTTCTTTTGAAACGTCTTCGCCCATCTATTTTTATCCCGATCATCATGTATGTCGACCTTCCCCAACGATATTCGCTATCTAATTTGCTCTAGGACTATCTGGGGTGTTGCTATGTTGTCAATGGGATATGTCAAGAATTGGTCTGGTATGTAAAAGTCTCATACTTCTTGGAGTCTTTGTCCGATGAGACTAACATTGTGATTTTCAAAGGTCTTATGGCAGCTAGATGGTTTTTGGGTATGGCTGAAGCTGGTCTATACCCTGGTGTAAACTACTTTCTCTCATGCTGGTACAAGCGTGATGAATTTGGTGTTCGCGCAGTACGTTTTCATTCAATACTTGCCTGCTTTTCCTCGGCTAACGGTTTAGGCTATCTTCTTCTCTGCCGCCGCGTTTTCCGGATCTTTTGGAGGACTACTTGCTGCGGCTATTACCAACCTAGATGGACTAGGAGGAAGACCAGGCTGGGCATGGATCTTCATCATTGAGGGTGTCATTACTGTTGGATTCGGTCTTTTGTCATTTTTCTTCGTTCATGACTTCCCCGATACCGCTACCTTTCTTTCGGAGCAAGATCGTGCTCGAGTTATTCGCAGACTCAAGATGGACAAGCAATCAAGTGCTGAACATGAAGAATTCAAAATGGAGTACTTTTGGGCTGCCGTGAAAGATTACAAGATGTGGTTGGGAATGTAAGTTTTCGAAAATTCTATGATCTCAACTTGTTCAGTTTACTGACAAAACACAGGTTAACGTATATGGGTGCCGATATGCCATTGTATGCGTTCTCACTCTTCCTACCAACTATTGTAAGTTCAATTTATTCACCATTATCTTCATTGTCACCGCCGCCGCCTCATTGTGAGGTCATTCCTTCATATTAAAGACTCAGAACGCAAGCCTCTATAAACATCCGTGCAGGCGTTTTATATGGCCCAAGCGTCTTCAGGACGTTCGAATTTCAATCACAGTAGTTTGCTGTACGGGTTGCTTTGCTCTGTAGAAAGAAGGACAAGTAGACTAAAAATGGCCTCCACCTCCTCTTCCCCCAATGCAACCTCCATCTGTTTTTACTTCATCCCATACTCTCTACTCTTCACCTCCATCTCAGATAGTACCAAATTTCAATCTCGTCGTTTATTTTCAAACTTTGCATCTGATAGATCATACTGACTTTCCAATTTAGGTTGCCGAGATGGGATATAAAACTACTCGCGCACAATTACTTTCAGTTCCCCCTTACGCCTGCGCTGCAGTCCTTACAATTGTTGTTGGTCTCGCTGCCGACCGTACCAAGCGTCGTGGAATCTTCAACATTTGCACCTCTCTCATAGGTGTTGTTGGATTTGGCCTGCTACTTGGATCACAAAACCCCCACATCAAGTACGCAGGTACATTCTTGGGTGCTCTTGGTATCTACCCTTGTATCGCAAATACTATTTCATGGGTTAGCAACAATACTGAAGGTGTTTACAAGCGTGGTATCGTTCTCGGGTTCGTCATTGGATGGGGAAATCTCAATGGTATTGTTAGCAGTAACATTTACTTCAAGGGACCGAAATTCACAGTAGGCCATGCGACTGTCATGGCTTACATGATTGTCTGCCTATTTGGTGGTAGCGTTGCAATGCATCTACTGTTACGCAGAGAGAACGCAGCTAGATTGGCCGGAAAGAGAGATCACTTGGTCGCAGGAATGACGGAGAAGGAAGCCGAGAAGCTGGGTGACAATCGTCCTGACTTCTTGTACACCCTTTGAAAAATTGATACTTGGACGGATGCTGATTCTATGGGGAGGATATTAAAAGGTCGATTTCTTATTAGTTTCTGTGTAATTTTTACTCTGTCCTTTCATTCTGCTGGGAGCAAAGCCCTTAGATTTAACTTTATTTTGCACCGTTAGTACCATCTATACACGGTTACGCAAGTCAACGTTAAGTGACATATGCAAACTGCGAGTCAAGAAGCTTCCACTCTCTTCTACTGGAGTATTTGACCCGTTAACTTGGCCATCAATCAAATACCATTGTCACTTGCATCCACTCAGCTGTCAAAGTACAAATAATCAAGGGACATTCTGATTAGCCTAATCGTGTAAAACCATGTCCGACAGGACCAACATGCAAGCAAGCTTTTTCCAGCCGAGTACTGTGTGGATCCGTTACACCACGTCTGACCTGTAACACTACAGCATGTTAGGTGCATTGGCTCGATTCCTGCCTGTCCAAACTAACACCAACGCTAGTGACTCTCGCTCAGCACTTACCATAAGAGGTAGCAATACCACCCCCAAGCTCAAG